ATACCATTCGAAAGAGAATTCGTCTGCTCTACAAGATGTTATGTTTCCCTTTTACCTATGCGTCCACAGTTTTGAATTTTTAGGCCTGCGGAATGGGAGGTCCAGCCGACAAAGAATTGACCAAACCGACAACTATCTCTAACTTTATCTTCCCTTGGGAGAAATCAATCAATGATGTACCCTCTACTTACACATGACCTCTTCTGAACATTACACTATTAGGTTTCCCAACAAGTCGCGTCGTTCCATTTCCAGACCTGGTTTTTCAACCAGAACTCGACGGTCGAGCACCATTACCTGAGATCTAGGTCGAAATTTTTTTTTATAGCCGAGACATTGAAAAACTAGTAGAATTTCAAAGAACAAGTCATGACTAAGTTAGGAATGTACGCCTGGTTGATTTTCTCATCTTCTCAGGATAATTTTTTCAAAGAAATGCGGTCACTTTCGCGGATAAACACCTTATTCCTAAACACCTAAAATTCGAACTAATTCCCAACAAACATAAACAAAACAAATGAGGAGAGAGCAGAAGAAGTGCTCTAAAAGGAACACCACTCGATATGAAACAATGGCGTTTACGAGGAACAATTTTAATTTGAAAATTGCTATGGCTTATCGGTCAGCCAATTCGAAAAGAAACACGGCAAAGCTTTTTCGGCAACCTAAGAGTGGAATGTTTAGAAGAGGTCATGAGTAAGTAGAGGGTACATCATTGATTGATTTCTCCCAGGGAAAATAAAGTTAGAGCTAGTTGTCGGTTTGGTCAATTTTTGTCGGCTGGACCTCCCATTTCGCAGACCTAAAATTTGAAAACCCTGGAACAGAGGTGGAAGAGGAACGGAGCATCTTGTAGAGCAGACGATTCTCTTTTTCGAATGGTATATAATATGGTGTAAAAGCATGGGATTTAGAAAATTTTTGGTTGAAAAAAAGCGACACTATTTATGAGACAACCTAATAATATCTTCATGTGTGGTCAAGGGCATTGTTGAAATTTTCCTCAAACAGTGATGAAGCGCCATTTCTCTGGAAATGAAAAAACGGCTGGATGAAGCGGTGAACAATATTTCTATTATGGATGTGTTTGTAAAGAAATGGATGCTTGACATTCCATTCATCAACAGATGGTGGAAACCTTTGCTAGAGCCAACTTATGCATTTAAGGAGTTTCTCAAGAAGCAGGTTGAAGAGAGGTTTGAAGCAACATCATCTTTTATTTCATTTGAGGACTTTTTGGCTATACATATCGAGCAATGTCGTTATCATATTTCTCTTTGTAATTCAATAGCTACATGCTTTGCAGAAAGCAACGTATACACTGTAGTGATGATATTAAATTGTTTCAAGGTAAGAAAGCTATCGAAAACGGCATCACCTGCTGGACACCGAACCACGGGACTACGCAGATGCGTTCATTCTCAAAATGAAGGAAGGAGGCTATGAATGGCGTGATGGACACAACGTTCGAGTGGGTGATTTGAATGATTTTTCCTCTCCTGATTCCTACTTCTTTCCGTTTCTGAGTTTTGTAAAGAGGTCTGAGGTGTAAGGGGGTATTGAATGCTGGCAGCTGGCATCATACAACTCAACACAAGGGGCTATTACCTTAAGCCCCCGGTTAAGTATTCCATCTAATCATACGCTCGGCACCTGTTCTGAATGTTGATGAGATACGAGTGCGCTTCCGCAACTCCACTTTGATTAGCTATTATCACTGCGATTAGGCATTATGATGTGCACCCCCCCCTAAACTACATTTCCTACCAAAAAATAATATGTTGGATTGGGGTTCGTGAACTTCCGTCGATCACAGCCTTGAACAATCGGACCACTCGAGCATCTTAATATTTGGGGGGAAAAACCGCAGATAACGACAGCTTTGAAACATACTAGAGGGGGCTAGTACCCGTCAAACTGACCAATGAACTTTCTATTTCTGCCAGAAGCCATCATGAGCGCTTCACTGCCGAGCATGAGAAAGCGTTGAAAATAGGAAGTTGAAAGTTTCACGAATGTGGGTGAAGGTGGTTAGAGGACAACGTGTGAAGATCTTGCAATGTTCGCTTTGTCAAATATCAGAGCCGTCAATTAGCCATGACAAAAGGTCACTGGTTTTTCAAAAGTTGCGGCATGAAGCCACAGTAGCCACAACGGGCTTCAGGATGTTGATTCATACTCAAGATACGCTTGCGCTCCATGATTTTGTAATTGTCCTCATTACGGACCTTCACACTGCTTTGCGTAGAACCTAGCAAGACCACATGGGTCGCGTTCAACGGATCGCGAAAAGTGAAAAGTTCAAGAAAAGGGGTAAAATAGGTAATATCAGAGGACTTGCTACTTCTCGAACACATTACGCTCCTGACACAACGAGGAAGTACATATTCATCTCTTGTTCTGGGGTGCCAAATTATTGCTGTTCCAGCAAATATCATGCACATATAAAAACGATATGCATAGCGCAACAACCTAATAATTTCAGTGTGACCCATGACATATGGTTTTTTTATTATTTTATACAAATTTTCGAGAATTCAATATAAGAAGAACATGATTGGAGTATAATTCGCGAGAAAGCTCATTCTCTGCGATCACCTAACTCATAGTGCAGGACACTTATCACAACTATTTCACACTGTCCTACTTGTTACACTGCTAAATCTAGTTATTTACATATGTATTTTTGATCTGATTTCAGTGATGAAACACTAGCCGTAAACTTGCTAGATTTATGGTCCGCTGGGCAAGAAACGACCCAACACTTTCTCGATGGGCAATGATTATCTTCTCAATTTATCCCAGGTGACGCTCCTGTCATGCAGTTAGGTGGAAATCATCCAAAAAATATTATATCTCGAAATTCAGGTTGTTTACAAGCTAAGAGAAGAGTTGCTCAGAGTCACTGGAGGCTCAAGATCGCTTACGCTCAGAGATAAAAACGAATAACTCGTACCTGAATCGCTGTATGCTGGTAGGACTATTAGCTTCTCGCTGGTATTGTCGGTAAATATTCAATGTTGCCTTCCCTTTACTCCAAATGTCAGAATCAGCTAATGCGACCAGTACAGGTAGCGTTTGAAGGCAGGCTCAACCGCACATAGTTTATTTTCTAAAAAGGGTCGTACTGGTTTGAGGCCATGCTGATCCAAAATCTGCTGACACAGTGGATGATCTGTTTGGAGAGGAGTAAGGTACGCATAAGTAATATTTTCAATCGTGGGATGTTCGTCAGTGTGCTTTGATAGGCACAAAGTCGAGAACATTTCTTTTGAGCGTTTCTGGAAGGGTAGGAAAATAGTGGTAAGATGGCAGAGTTCTTCATATATTATGGGGAGGGTCGTGTTTAAAAATTATCCCTAAAACAATGTACTGTTTTCTTGGGAAACTCAGACAAGGTCAACATCTATTAGGTCCATAGAAGAATTGCTGTGGTGGTTCTAGGCAGCCCTTCTTGTAATTATCCCTTGTTATTGCTCTTGCTCGCCCTTTCCAGTGACCACCCGAAGTCACCGGCCACGCTTCCTGAATCAACAAGTTATACGAAATAGATGTATTTATTCAAATTGACCTATGACTGACAAGTTCTTGAGTCTTGTCCTAATCGAGGCGAAGGCACCGTCGTCTAGATGAAGATCTTGTCCCAGAAGAGGTCTGCACGCAGATCTTGACAGGCTCGTACCACAGACGTTCCACTTCTAAGTCCATCCTCTGGTTTTATACCATAGACGTCGGCGGAGGCACATAAGTATGTAAGCATAACCCTGAAGATAAAACGGTTTCTCAAGCGTTAGAATGTAAGCATAGCTAAGATCTGCCAAGAGATAGCGAAACTGAGAAACTACAAGGCGGATGACTAATAGCAAGAGGAATTTTGGTTTTCAACTTACAGAAATAGTGTAATGCCTACCGTTGAATGAATTAAGGAGCCAAGCGTTACCATCAAATCTTTCTGCTTATTCTTCGCTCTATGAGGTTTTGCAGCGCGGTGTATTAATTTGTTAGATTTGTTCAAGGGATAATTGTAGACCATTGATTAGAAACAAGCTTCGAAGAACTAATGACTCCTCCTCATTTGAGTCTTATCAGTAAATCCAGCTAATGGTCAGTTCCAACCTGCATATTTGAAGCATTTTTGCTTTCTCTGAATCCTTTCAAACAAAATTAAATAGGAGTTCCGTGTTTGTAGTAATGCGTATGCACACAGGTTGTGTGCGCGGCTAAATATTCTATACGGTCAAAATGTGCGGACAGATTCGTCTTCAGGAACTTGACTGCTTTCCATCCCACGCGTACCAACTTGTTATTGGCATTACCAACAACAATATTCGAATATGCACCATGCCAGCTTCAGGAAGAGAGGTACATGGAATCTACAGGAAGGCGACAAAAAAGGTCATTCACGCATGGATATCCTCATATTTTTAGTCTCACAGGATGCCATTGTTGCGTGGATGTTAAGATTAATCCTTTACTGTGGTCCCTAAGAGAGAATAGTGACCTCATAATTGCCTCACCGCTTTTAGAAGATGTAGCATCTGCCGACTCACTGTGCTGAGCTAAACGAGGTGATACCGCAATCGCTCACCGAAAACTGCAACATAATTTTTCATAATCGCTCCGCTGAAATACGCCACACAACTTCTTTCAATCAATTATTTGGTGAATAGCCTCCGCAAGACAATAGGCTGTGGCTATGCAAAGCACTTTGAATGTATCAAGACGTCAAATGGTCTATAGTACCTCGACGAGTTGTTGAGCTTCAGTATCGTGAAACCATGTCCAGTGGGGAAAAAATCTGCTGGATTGCCGTTCGGTGTAGAGGTGAGAATTGTACCTTTTTTGATTAGAATAAAATGTGCTCTTTAATATTTAGTTCGGCTCATTTGGTTCGGTTTCGTAGCGTGTGATTAATTCCGATGTGATGTGGAGGAAAATGACTCCCTTTTTTTGCCCCCTCACACACTGTACCTAGCGGTCCATAGTTATACGATCCAAACCCTTAAGAATTTCAAAATCTCTATGAAAATATATATATATTATGTTTTAAAAAGTCTCCAATGTGTAATATGTAATTCATTGTGCCGTAACACTTTTACTTATTAAGGGAGGCCGCATAATAAAAGTTGGTGCTTGTATTTCGAAAAGATTAGGGTTTGCTATATGCTGTTGAGCAACGTAATCGCGCCTGATTTGGACCACATTCAAGCTTGACTCTAAAATTTCCTTTAGGGATTTTACATGATATGGAGTTTGGAAGAGCTCCCAATGCTTTTCGATAGAAACAAAGGCCGTGTCACAGAGAAACATCCACTTCTATAAAGCGGATGCTCTGCCATCGGATTCCTTCAAAACTAATGCCTCAACGGACTAATGTTTCATGCGTGTAAAGGAATTCCTAAGTTTACTCCCGATTGGAAAATGTGGAAGGCATCATCTGTGTCTAGAAACCATGGCGAAAATTGGGCCGATTTTTGCATGATGTGCAGCCTAGCCGGCTGAAGCAAGGTTCGCTTTCTGCTCGATGTACTCTAGCATTTGTTTCTTTTTTCTTTTTCTGTTTTTCTTCTCACATTTACTTTTCCCTTGATGGCTTTTTTCCTCAGTGAATCACTACTAAGAGAAAGAAAAATGCGAAAAGAACGACAGACAAACACTTAGATAGCAAGCAAAAACAGAACCTCTCAGTCGATCGCGGTGAATGGTACATGTAAAGCCGGCTGCCCAATTTTCGCAAGTTTCCATTGACACAGATGGATGCCTTCACATTTTTTCAATTCAAGAATTAAGATTATGACTCTGTGAGAAACAAAAGTGCGTTAGGATAAAGTTCTCAAGAAGATTCGATGACAGAGCACCGTTGGATGAAAGGGATGTTTCTTCTGTGACACGGCCTTTGTTTCCTATCGAAAAGTAATGAGAGACTTTTAGAGCTCTTCTAAACTCCATATCATGTGAAACCCTGAAGAAATTCTTGAGCTTGGCGTGAATTTGGTCCAAATCTGGTGCGATTGCGTTGTTCAACAGTTTTTGCGACAACCTCCCTTTTTCAAAATCCAACAGCAGTTTTTATTATGCTGTCCCTTAAGAAGTGAAGTGTTACCACAATGAAAAAGTTTCGTGGAACAGAAGTGAAAAGTAATCGATAAACGTGAGGTGGACGTATAATTTTGGGACGTCGGCTGAGTGGCCTTTTACACAAAAATTATTGGAAAAAATTCCTTAAAATAGAAAATTGATGTTCATAGGCAATTGCGTATTTATATGCGATACATTGTCACATTGGAGACTTTTTTCAAAACATCTATATTTGTGAGATTTTGGGAAATTCTTGGGTGGACGTATAATTATGGGACGCAGTGTACTCAGATAAGAGTATTTTAAGGAAATCCAACGCCATGCGTCTATACTAAATATGAACTTCTGGAGATTTTCAAGCGCAGATGCGGAAATTGGAGGTTATGCAGTGCCGAAGCACACCATTGTATCAGCGGAGTTGAGCCTAATCCTTTCCGATGAAGCGATATTCCCCAATTCCAAGGAGGTAAGTGGAATCATTTCCAAACATTTTGTTCAGTTGAAGTGTGGGTTCAACTTGCCTTAAATTGGCGTACAATTGAATAATATACAAACAAATGAGGAGTAATGAATGAAACCCCTTGATTTCTTAATTTTTTGATCACTGATCCCAGAAATGTTCTAGCAAAGAATAGCTACTGATTTACAGTTCGATCCATCTCGATACCTCGATGACCCGTCTTTGCTGACATATGTGGTTCCGTTCGGATTAGGGAGAAGATCGTGTCTGGGAGAATCACTTGCTCGAGCTGAACTATACCTTGTACGTTGTCAAGTTAGGTTTTGTCGTCCTTTTTCAGAGGATCATTCATAATTCCCTACTTTCTATTATCAAGGTTTTTCATTTGTCCCACGCCTTACAAGTACATCCCACGCCCAGTTCGTTCGCTGAAACGTTCTCTTGTGTGAAAAAGGCATGCCACAGGA